ACGAGCTTTTAGTTGGCTGTTGTAAAAATATTTGTTCACAATGAGAAAGAGGAAAAGTTCGGAAATGAAAAAAAATAATGAGAAAATAGAAAATAAAAGGAAAATCTCGCTTTTTAAAATGTAAGATATTTTGAAATATGAATAGATAAAAATATTCACAATGGATAAAGGAATTGATATTAAAAATAAATTGAATACTTTAAAAAAATAATAATAAATAAAGGGAATTTTTTTTTTTAGTGAGCATACTGAAGTCATCGAAGATACTGCTTTTCAGTGTAGTTCAAGAGCTAAAACATTCTTAAAATGTTTCCCATTATAACTACAAAAATAACTTTTTTTTGTTCCTTGATCAAGTAAAATCTTCATTTCTTAATATCGAAGCATATGTATAATTAATTAGTCTTAGCCATATAATGTTAAAAATAGTTTTTGAGGAACTTCATAATATGTTCCCTTTTCACATACATACACAAAATAAATAGATAAATCATAATAATAATAAATAAATTTCCAAATTAATCATTGAAACATAGCTATAGGGTGGATTCAATTGGTAAATGAGCTTTTTGCTTTTTTGCTAAAATAGCAAAAATTTATTTTATAGGAAAATCCAATTTCTGCAAATTATTTTTCTAAATAATCTCCTTTTATGATACATGCCCACAGCGGCCAAAATTTAAGGGTATAGGAAAAAAGAGGAAGAAGTCGCTGAACACTGGTAGTTTGGTCCGAGGCGTGGTTTTCCCCATGTGTAACGTGTATATGAGCTAGTTTCCCTTAGAAAGTCCTCCGTGAAGGCATCCCTTCCCTTATGCAGATAGCCCTAGTGTGCTTTGCTGTAATTAAATAAACCGAACCAAACCTTTTATGATACATTCCCCCCAATGTTTTGCTTACTGTTTCATTCAGTTCTCGTTGAATGAAGTTGAATTGGTATCTAACCAGTTGCAGATGAATGTTTCCATGGAGGATCAACACTTCATGGGTGGGAAAGTCTCCTTTTGCCTCGATACTGAAGCCTAACGTGATCCAAGAGATCCCTGTAGTAGGTTACGTTGATGGTCTGATGCCAGTGGAAGAAAACCACCATTAAGATTGCTGTCAAGTTGCAAGAAACAATGGCTAACGCTTTCTTTGCAGACAATCAAGTTTTGGCTTTCACAGGCTTTCTTTCACCTTCCTTCCTTTCTGCTAAATAAAGCACTTGACAAGCCAACAAGTATGATTCTGTTACTCAAGGCAACCTCACCTAACAATTTCAACTTCCCAAACACGTACAAATACCTATCCTGATGCTCAGCCAATAAAGGCTCGTTCATATTTGATCACCATACATAACTATTTAATCAGAAAACAGAAAAATTAGTTTTCCACCTAGTAAAATAAACAAAATAGGGATAAAATATATACATAGATATGTTTTTTGGACATAAAAAATCAGACTCAGGTACTCCATCGATTACAATTAGTCACAAATGCCATTTATATTGATAAAAATCATGCACCCTTTTATCCAGGGTACTTGTCACGTGGGCGATCGTAATAGTGAGGTTTTATCTGTGGGCTTTTGGCATGTTTTGTATGTATGTAAATTATTTTGTTGATTGATTTTTATGATAAATACATGTTCCAGATGTAAATTATATATGTATATAATAACTAATTTTTTACAATTCTAAGTCAGTTTTCTTTAAATCCTAGACTGTCTAATCCTAGACTAATATGCAAGCACTGTAAATAATATACTAACGACGTAGGTGTTAGTATATTATTTCATATGTTATTTCGACGTAGGTTCATTTGAAAAATTCTAGGTAAGCTGAATTCCAAAAGTGTCCTCAGTTCTTACGGGGTTCGTAGATTTGGAGTGAACAACGACGGCACTTGATGAAGTATCGAAACACACTTTATTTAGCCAATATTAATCAGGACAGTTCCAATAACACTTTTTACAGTCGTCGAAGATCTACTATAAACACGCTGGAACAATCAGCAGCACAGTACTGTCAGGCAATAATGGTAGAGACAGCTTTCTGCAAAACACCCGACTCTTCTTTCCGGAGTACAGCTCCCGACTCTGCTTGGTTGTTCTCAGAACTCCACGTACTCTCGAGACTCTCCATGCTACAGCTCGCGATGGTTTGGTTGTTCCCGGAACTCAACATGCTCTCTCGACGATCCACTAACCGCGATACACTAACAGACTCCTTCGGTGCACTTGACGACCCACTCAGCACTCGCTGCCCGGCTGTCAACTCAATCGACTCCACAGGGATTGACTCGCTAGACGAGACACCAACTCGATGCTAACTCGCACTGTAGACGAGGCACGCACACTCGCCCTCTCGATGAAGCGCACACTCGCCTTCTCGACGAGGCTCACTCACTGACTGACTGCGAACCAGGGTTTATATAAAGCTTTCTGCTTGTGTTCGAGAACATTCTGGTCTAAACCAGTAAGAATTCGTTCCAGAAAGTTCTCCATCTGTCCATGGTACATCGCGAATTTTGTCGCCAAATGGGCGATTTCTCACCAAATATGTATACCCTTCATTCCCTTGCCATTTTATAGCAACCCTAAAACTGCTTTGCGGGGAAGCCATCTCACCGCACCTGTGCATTTCGTAACACTATTATTAGTATTCTTTTTTCCTATGACACATTTTAGATTGGTATCTTGTAAATAAGTTGTTGGGACATTGTATACAAAGTTGTGCTTCTTAAGTTAGAAGGTTGCATGCATTTCTTCCACTGAAGAGAGTTCCATTTACAGAACTGAGTCAGTAAGCTTTCACATTGTTTTCCATTTACGCTAGAAGCAAAATTCATTAAATTTTAGTGTAATACATTCTCTGATCTACTTCTAAAGGCCACATAATTTTTCAGTTTTTTAAATTCATCATGACAAGTTTTTTATGTACGCTGGTAACCAAATTACATCATTTTTTTGTCTCTCTCTTTTTTTTTTTTTTTTTTTCAAAAGTTACTTGTTTTATTTTGTGAGCTAAATTTCTTTCAGCTCTCCATTTTTGGGTATATGTGCTTGTTCTTAAATTTGTAAAACTTTTGTTATAATTATCGATTATTACATATTAATAGTTTAATTGTGCCATTAAATTAAGTGAATCTGTCACATTTTATTTTACTTTAAGACGTTAAATAACCAAGGTAACCAAGAAAGTTCGTGCGGTTTTTGTTGCTCTTTTCAAAACGACCCACAAAAATCTTGAAACACCCATTTTAATCTTCGAAATAATCACCATTGGCTTCAGTTACTTGTTCCCAGTGAGACACAGGGTTATAAATGCCCTTTTTTAAAAACAAATCCCCTTTTTTCCCCTGGATAAACAATTACCCTTTGTGACATTGGTTGCATTTTCGGACTGCTGCACTAAGTGGTTTATCATGGCCAAATTGTGTAATACATGCTTTGAATAGGGTGTGAGGAGAAACTTTTCTACTTTGGTTTTGCTTTGCTGTCTGCAGTTTAAAAATCAAGAGGGGCAATACCTGCAAGAGGAGGGTGCTTACTCTTCTTTTTAATTGTGATTTGTGTGCTGTTGTTGAACTGCCCGTCAAAAATAGAAACAAAAATGTGCTTGCGATGTGTTGAATCGATTGTGGGGGAAGTAGAATTTCGTTTTCTAGAATATTTGGACTGTACGAGCAGTGGTTCACAAGTACACAGCATTACTTCTTTGGTTGAATGTGCCGGTTTAGTTGCCAATGAGACGAAACCATTGATTCAATGGTTGTTTCTCTTATGGGATTCTAACTTTTTGGTTTTGTGGGATTGAATGATGACGTGTGAAGTAGTCACCATACGAAAATACCCTAACATAACTAGGAAAGCCGAAATCTAGTTAAGATAGACATGTACAATTAATAATCAAATTTAATAAGGAAAGTAACAGTTGCCGGGTACATTATAACGGCTTTAAGAAATTCAGAGCACAGTACAGATGCGAGTACAAAGAAGATCACATATTTCGGCGAAAGCAGAAGACACACATTTGTTGAAGTAGTTCCACTGACTGCCGGAAAATCTTCTCTCTCCGTCAGCCTGTAGGTTTGCCAAACGGGTTTACTGTTTCGCCAATTGGCGCTTTTCTGTACAGTTTTTAAGTCCGTATCGCCTGTTTGGCGCTGCCGTTGCATGATCCAGGAATGAAGCTCTCTTATAGTGTGACAACAAGAAGCAGGTATTCAACCACTGGAGTTATTGCCTTAGACAGGACATGAGGAACCCATTTGCTGAGTTTCATGTCATTCCATGGTTATGAAAATGTGATCAAATGGTTTCATCAGATACATTAAATCTCTGTGCAAGCTTCTGGTAGGTTTGATGAGATTCTGCTTGAGTTCCTCTTTCAGCTGGACTCCTTCGGAGTCCTTGAGGGTGGATGGGCAAGCAACATGAAGCTTGTCTTCAAGGCTCTCGTCTGTGGAAGAAAATCGGCTAAACCACTTTTAAGAGGTCCATTCACTCCCTGACCTCTCTCCAAACTTGGAGCATATTCTCCTAATGGCCTCTGCAGCTTTGTTTCCTAATTTGTCCTTGTAAAGCAAAATAGTCCTGAAACTCTTTTCTATTGACGTGTTCTTTCGAAGATTCTGCTTCCTACAAAACCCATAGCGAAATGTGCAATGCAGTGAACAACTCTCTATTGAATAAGGTTTGAAAGGAATGAGAACATAGCGTCATCAGAATCAATTTGGCCACACTAACGCACCAAAAGTAATTGTACACAAAAACCACACGAACGTTTGTGGTTATCTGATATAAATGCTGACTTGAAGTTATTTGGAAATGATAATGTAATTAGTGATTTTTTTAATGCAGAACTATAAAATTGTATTTGCTTTTAGTTGCCCCCTTCACTGTTAATGTGCTTCATCATTTAGTTTGTTAAATTACTTTCCAAATTTTGATTGTCAGTTTTCATATTCCATTATATCTTGCATGTAATTTAACTTATTTGGTTTTCTTTCTGTAGGAAATTTCAAGCAGCTGAGAGACCACCAATAAAGCCATCCAAGTCAAAACCACGTAGGAAGTGCGTCATTCTTTGATGCTTGCTCAGTTTCTTAATCTGTGTGAAGACTTTGTTATAAATATACACATACACATGAAGAACAGAGGAAGAATCATGCTGAAGAATTTCTTTTTGAGGTGTTCATTTTAATTTGCCAGTGTTTATACCTTGGCTGAACTGACTAAGCAACTGTTACAGTTTTGTATCATTTCTACTTAAATTTATTATTTACAAATGTTGTATATTATCTCTGTTATGATCATGGAACATTATGATTGGCCAGTTCCACCTCATATAGGCTGTTTTTAACGTGAAACTTTCTTATATTGTGGAAGTTTTGAACTGTGGAAACTTCATATTGCAGTCGTGTAAAATTTTCACTTATTTAATTGATGAGTGTTGATTCATATCAGTGTATATCAATTGTGATTATTTTTTATCCATAGCACTATATTTATTTTTAGCTCTCATCTTCGTCTATTGTTTATTTTAGCATTTAAATTAGTTTTTATCTAGAGATTGCTATTAATTTTACATACAGTATTATATGCTTATTTTATTCATCATGTATAATTGTTCCGAATCCTGAAATTCAATAAGCGCAAGAGATGTATGTGTATAGTCAGGCTGTAATTTGCCTTTAGTCATGTTTTTAAATTGTTTGACTATTTTCTTGCATCACCAACTCTTTGTATGTGAATTGAAAGGAAATTGAAGACCTGTTACTGTTATTTTGCTATTTTACAACACTTTCTTTTCTAAATGACAGATTTGCTGTTATTTTCACATTGTAATAAATTTATAATAAACAATCAGAGTGTCTTTTTATTTTATTAAGTTCTTAATATGTCATAGAGTTTCAATCTATAATACAGTCAAAAGTCTTTAATTCGGACCTCAACGCTACAAACTTTCTGCGCATGCAATGTGTTTGTGCATGCACATAATATCTTTACGCATGCATGGTTAATGTATAATGGACGGTATAAGCTAAGCTAAAATTATCTATTTCAGTTAATGTTGCAGATTGCGTTGTTACTTAATCTTCTAATTGGATCCGGTTATTATTTTTTTTTGCAGACGTTAGAGCAATTTTATAATTTTTTAAAGTAAGCTGAACTTTCGATTATGTCAAAAAGAATTTTTCCGATTTCCGCTGGAGCTGCCGACGGATCTACAAAGTGAAAGCATGTTTCAATGTCATCAAACAAAAAGTGGAATTGCTGCAAAAATGGATAAAGGCATATCCTTTGTTTCTCTAACCATTCCGAAATCTGTTTTATCAATTTCACGCTGCTTGCCGCTGGGGATAGGGATGGGGGGGGGCGTCGCGACAAACGCATGCACTGGAAGTTGATCTTGTTCAGCACTATCCTTATCTTCAGGGCAGATGTTTTTATTATTTTATTCTGCTTACAATTCCCTACTAAATGTAGTATTTCATCTCGATATGTACTCCATCTTTGATATGATTTAAATCGAATTCCTCATCCTTATAAAATATCATGAATATGCATTCAAATAGTTTTCTGGTTGCAATTTTCTAATTTTTGACTATACGTAATGTATGCTTAACGCATGCACGCATTGAAAGAAATGTTTTAATAAAGTAAACAAATAATATTAATTTTTCTTTTGTAAATTTTTACCCTTTAATCATAATTGCTCTTTCATTTCAAATTACGGTTTCATTTTTTTTTTTTTTTAATTTTATCTTTCTGCATGCCATCTACCCGCATTTAAACTGAAGATCTGTAATCCTGAAGAAACCTGATAATCCGGAATTGCCAAAGTCCCGCCGAGTCCGGATTAAAGGCTTTTGACTGTATCGCTTAAGTTGGATTATCCGTGAAATAGATATTTGTCATATCACCATTATTTTAACTAGTTTTTATTGTTGCTCTTTGACTTACCTGTTTATAACCTCAGTAGGATTGATAGTTCCAAAATTGAATTCACTCTCTTGAGTAGGAAAAAAACCGTTTTGTCAAGAAATGTGCGAAAAGCCATTGATTAATGGGTATGCAGATTTAGATTTGTAGTAATTATCTACAACATAATTAAAATATTAAAGGGAGAAAATTAGGAGTAGAAATCACTGCCTTTTGGTGATATGGGTCTCATGATTTCTATCTGGAAGATAACATAATTGAATCGTGTTTAAAATCTGTAGACTGTAAAGGTGGCACATGATATATGAATTTAAACTTTTCTCACATAGTGGTGCAATTACTTTTCCAATATCTTTATTTTGTTAAGAGTTACTGGTCTATGAATTTGGTATAAGTGAACTGTGGAAGGCTCATGATTTCTTCAGTTTCTTTTATCTAGAGCATATTTGATACTCAGGTAAGTCATTGTTGTGAGTAGTGGAAGAGACCCATTGTGGTCTCTTCGGTAGGTCTGATGCAGTTTGACCATGGTACTCAAAACAGACTTGTACTAAATAAAATATTAACAAAAACATGTAAGTTATAGATTTCCTACCTAACTCATATTGGGAACTAAAGTGATCTGTTGGGGGTCATCTTAACTTTTGCTTAAGTTGAACCTTATATGGATAGTATTTGTATGCATGTACTCTGTACAATCAAACTTTGGTTGACACCTGTTTCCAAGGCTACCTGACATGCATGTCATTGATAACTGTAAAACAACAGCAATGATTGTTGTCTTGTTACAGTTTTGGATACCCTCTGAAGCAGTTTTCATTCATTGATCCTGTTTCACTGTATTTTTCAGTAGCCTATTTGAGTGATGTTAGCTATGTTGGGTTACTTGTAATAAGCTTGCCCAATTGATGGCTGAAATCATACTTGATTCATATGCTAATAAAATTTGCCATGAATAAGGCTGGAAGCAAGCATTTGAATGTTGAAGAATTGTTTTCTGCCAGAAGTATGAAATAAATGGTTATTTCATAATTGTTATTTAAATCTTAATATAACAGTTCATGTGCTGTCTTATTTTGTATCAAGAAACCTGTCTTCAGTGCTGTGTGTGAAGAAATTGGGGATCCAAATATCTGTTTTATTCCATTGCAAAGAATTTTAATACGAGTATAAAAAAGCCATCATGTCATTGGAATTCTTAAATTGAATGAATAATTTAAACTTCAGAGCTTCATCAAGAAATTAATACTGTTACCAACTTACAGAGTTGCTGTATGCCATGCCTAATGACTAAAACTTTTCATATGTTATGTAAATTACTAAGTGTTTAAAATCTTTTCTGTGTACTTTTTATTCATTATATCGTTGGATTTTAGAGTTGTTTTAACTAAACTTTCATCTTTTTGGCAGCCCCTGAAATTTTACAATTTGCAGTCTTAATTAACATTGTGTCATATATTCTGTTACTCTATTATATATGAAATTTATTAGTTCTTAATATCAAGTTTTAACGAAATTTTCCCACCACCATGAATATTGTCTGCACAAACAGTTCGTGTTGCTATGTTTAATCCTATTTTGTCAAATGAATTTTTGGAATTTCAAAGAAAGACACTTTAGAACATTGTGTTTTAAAATCTGTAAAAAAATACAGTCATTAAGTACTGAAATGGAACTATCATGGGACCAGAATAGAACCATCATTTATTTCCAGCGCTGTTGCAAAATTAAGCCGTGGAATGTCACCAAATCATGTGTATAGCGTTAATAATATCTTATGATACTGTGAAGGTTTGGTACCAAAAATTCAAAAACAAGTATCATGATATTGAAGAAGCAGAGCACTCTGGCTGGCTTAGTGATGTTGATGAGGCCCGCCTGCGAGAAGATCAGTATGCAACCACTTGAGAGCTGGCTAAGGAGTTAGACATCAGTGCCATGTCTATTAGTCACGCTATGCATCACATAAACGTGATATAAAAGTTCAGTCGCTGGGTTCCGCATGAGCTGACTCAAGCAGATAAAGAACAGATGTGTTTGGACCTGGACTAATCTGCTCAAATATCAATGCAAGAAAAAAATACTGGACCAGATTGTCACTTGTGATGAAAAATGTATCTATTTCAACGCATACCGAAAAGGGGGTTGGTCTGCACACAGTGAGCCCATCGGTAGCTTCTCAAAGCACAATTTGACTAACAGAAAGCTCATGCTTTGTATCTGGTGGGATTGCCATGGTATTGTCCTCAATGGATATCTGGAGAAAGGTAAAACCCTCAGTAAAGTGTACAGTGAGATGCTAGTCTGTGTTTACGCTACTGTCCAGGAAAAACATCGAACTGAGTTCTGGCACTAAAATGTAATGTTCCATCAAGATAAATTAAAACCACACGTGTCTGCATTCAATGGCTGGACTCTTATATGGACTCAGATGAGATCTTTTACCACACCGTATAGCCTTGACATCACTTCTTTGAACTTCTTCCTTTTTTCACACCTGCAGCTACATCTTGCTAGTGCTATCTTTCATTTTGCATGGAACGTCTGAAATCTGGTTGATCTGTTTTTGGACTCGTGGCCACCAGATGGACTGAAGGTTTTGAAAAACTACCCAAACTGCGGAAGATCCTAAGTTTGGGTGGTGATTACTACCCATACTAAAGGTTCTTCCCCCCAGCTTTATTAAGAATGTTTTTTGGCAGAAAACTTCTGTTAGAACCAGATATTAGCATGGCTTTTGAAATCCAATTTGTCCTTCAAAATTTCTTTGTAGTATTATGTTTACATTGTGATTTCTCTAGAATTTTCTATGCCTTTTCTTTAATTAGTCGTAAGCAGAGACACTATCTGATGACTGATCGTATTGTCCTGTTGTCTCTGCTCGCTTATATCCCTACATATATTGGAATTAAAGCTTCAAATTTTTTAGCAATAACATAGGAGTTTCTTCCAGAGTGTTTAAAGACAGTATCAGTTTTCTGCTGGACCGTCAGTGTTGTTAGATCACCTAGAATGAAGAAGTTACAAGCCTTTAACAGTCCATTTACGTAATTATTATTGATCTTTATAAACTAAGGCCTTTAATAGGTCTTTAATTGGCCTAAATGAAGTCATTAGAAAGCTAACAGTTGCATTGTGCATTTTATAAAATCGTAGCTGAAATTCCTGCATATGTCCTTCTTGTATTTGTAGAGGTAGTAGTTATACTGATGTGTTTAGTAGGTAGCACTTTCTAGTCTTGACTTATTTGTAATATTTAATCTGATTTTTGAAAAGATTTGTAAAATAGAAAGTTTTTCCCTTCAGACACTATTCATCTTATTTCAGAGACTTGAGGAATAAACTGAATAACTTTCTTTTCTATGGTGGTCACGCAAGCTGTGTATGTATGAAAAGTATACTTAAAAGTTATTTCAAACTTTCAGATAGATTCCTAAGCAGTACTTGGTATCAGAGTCGTAGCTAGGGTTTTCAGCGCCCAGGGACAACTGAAGATTTCGCGCCCCTACTGCTTGCCAAGGATGGCAAACATTTAATTCTAAAATGTTGTAACATCAGTTTGGCGCCCCTTGGATTCTGCGCCCGGGGACAGATGCCCCCCTCTAGCTACGCCCCTGCTTGGTATAATAAGTATGAAAGGAGTTCTGCAAGAAAGCCATGTAATGTGTAGAATTGAAGTTGTGCATTTGACCTTCCCCCTTTTTATATATGTGTGTGTGTGCATAGGCACATGTATATATGTGTGTATGCAACTATTGTATAGTAACTCATCATATTGCATGTAATTTTGCTAAATGCAGTATAGCATATATTTAATTATTTAATGGGGTTTTGACAATTGATACCATTATTGATGAACTGAACTGTTCTTTATTCTATACATAAATTCCATTTTCATTTCATTTAAATCCTTTTATTCAGCATAATTTCTTATAG